GTCCCCATCCCAACCCCCATCCCAACCCCCTGTGCCTGGCAGCCATGTCCCCAGCACAGTGACACAGGCCTGGCTGTGGTTCAGGATGACTTGGAGCCCTTCAGGGTGGCCCTGTAAGCAGAAGGGTTACCTTGGCCAGTAGGACTGGGGGCTTTGGGGGCCACAGAGCCAGGCAGGTCCTCCAGCAGGAGCCTGGAGACGGTGGTGAGGATCTCATCGATGGGTTTGACCACACCAGCCACATCAAACTCCACAGGGAGCAGCGCCTCCGGGCTCTCTGGAGACGGGAGCAGGGGGAACTCCTGCAGACAGACACACAAAGTCCACGCACCAGCCTGGGGAGGATCGGCAGCTCCGAATCGAACCCACACATGCTGCGTCTCCCCAGCAGGCAGACAGGGGCATCCCCAAAACATCTGCCATTATCTGTGTCTGGGGCACGGGGTCAGGGGACAGTCGCAGGGAGAGTGAGAGGCTGCAGGGAGCAGAGGGGCTGCAGAATAGGATTTGGTGTTTTGCTGGTGGTGGAAGAGCCTGGCTGAGAGGTTTGGGGGTGGGAGATGCTGCCCACGGCCCTGCAGGCAGCACCATCTGCTCTGATCCAGCATTGTCCCCTCAACTTTTCAGGGACCCCCCTGAAAGCAGCTCTTCCCTGCAGCCCTATCCCATCCCTGAGCTGGGCTGAGGATGTTTTTATCCCGGGGAAGGGGTCAACCACGTCTCTGCCCTCACCGAAAGGGCATGGCGTCAGCAGCACCCAGGCACAGGGAGGGGACACGGTGCCGGGACAGTACCTGAAGGAAGGTCCTGTGGTCGGGACAGGCCAGCAGGCACTTAGCCCTCTCCCTGTGCTGGCTGAGGACGTCCAGGCGGTCCTTCTGGAGACTCCATTTCTCCTCCATGCGTCCCAGCGCTGCCGCCTGCTCTTGCTCGATACTGGCCACTGTCTGCCACTGGAAATCCTCCAGGGCTTTCCTCAGGAGGGTGAATTTGCTCAGAATCACTGATTTGAGCCCCTCGGAGGAGTCCTGGGTGGGGAAGAGCCGTGAGAGCCAGCACGCTCCCACCCATGTACCCGGCATGGAGGCGGCTGGGGCATTACCTTGATGCTGCACGTTTGCTCCTCCAGCTCCTGCATCGCCTGCTTGATCCTCTCTGATTCCTCCTGGGCTTTTTCCAGGGATTCTCTCAAAAGGACCTGCAAAGGGAGACACCAACATCTGCGGAGTTTAAAAAGACACGGACTCTGGCGGGGTAAAGACCAAAGACCTTCACTGTAGGAGCAGCTCTCCTTTTATAGCCATAGCTGCTGCTCACATGCAGTCCACACGTGACCAGTGCTTTGCTGATAGGCCAAAAATTTGCCTGTTTTTCCTGACCCACCTGTAAATACAGCGTGTCCTTTAACTGGAGTCACAGCACATAAAGGGAAATGTCTTAGAGATATATCTTCACAAAACGTGAATAGTTTGTGTGCGGGGAAACGAGTAGAGATTCGTCCTGGGAACCCCTCCAAGGCAATTTGGAAAGGCATACTGTTTGCCTGACACCACTGTGGTGGGTTGACCCTGACCAAAATGC